TGTAAATTTTGTATGTCTGGTGACGATTTCACTCCCTGAGTAAAATCTGAAATGAAAGAGGGGGGATATGTCGAGTATGAGCGTTCATTAGGAATTGTTGCGACTCAATATTATGTTCATTAGTTGTTGAACGCTTTTCCTGCGCTTGACTATTATAGTTAGTGAACGCTCTTCCCGCCATAGTCTTTATGACGTATTTTTATGCTGAGTCGTGACGTATTGTCTATGCAGTGTTGTGACGTATGTTTTAGTAGTGCGGCAGTCTTGAGTGGAACCTTGGAGTGATAGGATGTTTATTATATTTACTTAGATATTAAAGTTGTAGTTATTATGAAAAGGAGTTGAGTTTGTTAATTGATAGTGAGAATAGTACGACGCTTCAACGTATGAAAGAACTGACGAATGTAATCAATCCAAGAAGACGTATAGGAGTTGACATCCTCCATCCAAAATACTGACTTAAAATTGTTTTTTTTTTATTGGTACTCACACTAAACATTGGATGAAAATTAGCTACCGGTATAATTTAAGTTAATTTATGGTCTGATACAGCATATCATCTAGAAATCAGAAAAGATCTCTTAAACATTACAATAACAGAACAGAGCTTAATGAGAACTGCACAATTTATTCATAAACTTAAACATCAATCATTATAAGAATTGTGATTTTTGTCTATACACTGGGTGGTTTGGGCAACCCAATTAACAAAATTACTGGACACAGATTTACAAGTAAATTTTTTTTCATTGATTTAAAATGTATGAACTGGAAAAAAATGAACACTCTATGACGCTGAAACAAAACCACTCTAATTAATGTGAAATTTAAGATAATGCTTGTCCTTGACTAAGTATGTCAACTAAGAGCTTCCTGCAAAGTAGGTCATTAGGCAACAATCTATTAGTCAACTAAGAGCTTCCTGCAAAGAAGTTCATTAAGCATCTATTTCCGTGAATTTTTCCAATGTCCGTACAATTTTATTAACTAAGATTGTTTTATTTTTGATTTCTCAGAAAAAACAAAAGCACTTCTTTATACAGCCAGCAGAGTGGGCTAAAATAGAATGGAGCATTGTAAAATGATGTCTTTAAAAGAGTGCGTCATGCACTTTAAAAGTGAACAGTATTGCATCGTCCCAATAAGTTCTTATAACAACATATCCATGTTTTAAAACTCTATAGGAAAGGTTATGGATGCAACTTGTACACCAACTAAATCAGATAAAAATAAGTTTTCAGAACTCTGAACCCGTAATCTGTTCAAATTCATTACACAATTTAAGCCCAATCACCACCAAAGTTTATGTAACATCTCTTATATTTAACTATTAGTCCTAAATGTCATTTTTTTATTTAAATAAAAATCAAAATCCTTTTTGAGTTTGTAAACAAACAAAAAACAAACAGTAAATTTTGGCCCATTTCTTCTTGTCTCAAAATAATATTTACGTTTCAAATGCAAGGGTTTCAATTGTGTAAAACATGTTTCATTCACAAAGTTAACAATTCCATTGTCTATACAGTTTTAATCTCCAACAAAGAAACTTTCAACTTTTTTTTTTTTAAACTGGATTTTAAAAAATTTAATAGCAATAGTACCTAAATTACTTCAGTCAAATAGTGTTAAAAAAAGTAACAGACACAATATAACATCAAAGTATACATTACATACACATCAAACATTGTGCATTTCTCTAGATGAAGTTTTTTTAAACTAAAATATGATACTGAAAAATGCACAACATGAGTAATGTTTAAAGATATTTTTGCCTTCAGTTTCAATGAACTCCCAATGTGCCATTCAAACTGGGGATCGCACAGATAGCATGTTTAACATAAGCAAGATCATTTCCTGACATAACATTTAACTCAACTCCATACGACTATCACACTATGCATTTAGACTGCCACTATGTGTTCATTTTCTTATTATTTTACTGTATTTCTTGTACCATGGTGCTTCCATTTTTTTTTTTTAAAAGAAAAGCAAAGTTCATCGCCAAGTCAGTAAATAAATACCAAGTATATTAAAAGGGACATTTATAACTTGAAAATTATAGAAGAGCTTTTATAATTATAGCGAATCAATGATCCATAATTAACACTCTTTTTGCAACTAAGTCAATTTTCAGGCATTGACCAGCATTCTTATAAGCGATCCAAGAGAATGCCTAATAAAATGAACAAATTTTAATCAAGTATTACATAAGAAATAAAACTTTTTTCAAAAATCATATTGTGATACTGCACCTAGTATTTGCAATTAAAAATGAATAAAGTCAGATAATATGTACAACTTTTTTTTTAGTAAGACAATACTCTATTCTATTATAGTAGAGCCTTTGTTGAAAATACTGTAAAATGTCCACGCAAGCAATAGCAATTCATACCAATTTCATTTCCATATACACCACTAGCAGACTATGAGCACTCATTTTTTTTCAACACAGAAATTACCATAGCCCACATCCATTTCCAGACTTAGTAAAACGCCCATACCGCCAATTTGTACAGATGACACCCATACACCCAGCTGTACTCAGTCTCCATCAGCTTGAGCTTCTTCTTCCTCCCTTTTCCAGATACAAACTAAATTGTTGTCTGTTCCTCCGGTCACATATTCATGACTGCTACTTATGGCCACCGTGTTGACAACCAGCTCCTGCAAATATGTGTAGCATTTTTACAATTTTATTTAAAAGTAGTAACATTCAATTTTCAAAGAAAAAGAATGGTTAAAAGAAATAGAGATGAAAATAACAGAGTATAAAAATATAAGGGGGTGAAATTGAAAAATAAATAAAAGTCTGTTTCAATTACAAAGAGCAGTGTTAACTTTCACACACACACCAATTTTTAATTTGTTTAGTGCCCACCTCGTCATACATAAAATGTTTTAATCAAAACCCTCCTAAGATATAGGAATTACCAATTTAAGGTCACAAAAATTACCTGACGTGGTGCATCCCCTGACTTGACATTGATTATGTTCGGCCACTCTAAAACCTAAAACACAACAATTACACATTTTTTAAATTTATGCTGCAAAATTCATGTTACTATTAATAACTACTTGTCAGGAGAAATCTAAAATACTAAATCTTAAAAATGTTATTGAAAGGTGGCAAGTAAATTTGGTTATTATACTATGATGTTGCTTAGGATGCTCTTATATATATTTAAACGCAAGCAAATAGAAACCATCAGAAGCAACCTATATGTATTTCTGTCTTTAATATTTTGTCTAAAAACTAATAATTCAGTGCTCCCCTTTGACACTATAAAAAAAATCTCTTAAAAGACCATTTTGATTAAAAAATGTTTATACTTACATTGGAGGCTTCCCAAACATTTTCGTCCTCTTCACCTCTGTGTTTGGTTAAAACACTCTGAATATTGTACAGTAAGAGATTCCCTTGGTCATCCCCAACACCCAGCAAACCTGAAATAATTTATTAAACTAACCTGTTTCAAGAACACCAGTAAACAATGAGGTAAAAAACATATTTTTTAAAACAATATTCTTCAGATTTTTGTTAGTGAACATTTAAATCTAACATTGGGATTAGTTTTTTATAGTTCAAAATTACAATTTTAATTGTCTTCTAGTTGTGACTAAATGCGCCCTTTGAGGGTTCCAACGGATTGCTCCAAATGCGTCCCAGAGCATAGCGACGCACCTCTCTCATTTTTATTTTAGAAATAGCAAGGAAATCTCATGTGTTCACCTGAGGTGCAAAAAATCTATTTTTGGTCATTGCTCGTAATTTTTGTTAATGTTATATTTTATTCAAACCTAATTTTTCTTCTGGATGCATTTATCCTTAATTCACCAATATTACTGTATAATTAGCAGCTTAAAAAAATATTTTACAAAAGTATATCATTCGCAAAACGGAATTACTTCCCTTCCTTGGGATTCTACGTTAAGTACAGTAAGTAGTACTGCCATCAGTTACGGTTAAAAGGTCAACACAGGTTGAGAGGGAGGTCAATTATTTGTAAGTAAATCCAACACATTCCTCTTATCATGCTCAAGTTCTTATTAATCTGTTTAATTCCACAATGGGTTTTTGAATATTACACAGTATCCTTACTTGGAGTCAATATCACAAACCTGTTTACCCCCAAACTCTTACAATGTCATCACAAAATCGTTCAATACATTATCTTAATAGTAAAAAATAAACATACAGTATATATAGTGTATACACCTCAAAATCGTACATTGTACGACAAAATTGTAAGAGTAAACAGGTCTGATATTACCTGTCATGTTTTCATGTGCATTTGGGTTGGAATTTTGTAGACCTTTTATGTGAGAAAGAACTATCTCAAGAAACAAAGCACACTCTTGACAATGTGAGAGAGACAGGTATCTTAGAAGCAACTTAAAAAGCAAGAGGAGATGCTGGTCATGGAGAAACTGGAAAAGATGTTGGATAATCGATTCAACAGTGAAATGATCTATTTTCATAATCCACTTTGATTCTTAGGGCTCCATGGAGAAATTTGTTGAGCCTTGTATAGAAACTTGGAAAAGAAAGTATTATAAATAGGGAGGTTATATGAGCCACACTGAATTGCAGCCTCCCTGAATTCTATAACAGTTAACACACATTTTGGCAGGCATATTTTCCTTGCAGTGTTTTTAATTTTTGTACAATGGCATTGACCTGGAAACACTGCCATGTCTATTATGGTTTTTATCTGGAAGAAATGTACAACTCATTTATTCACTCAGTCATCCCATATCATTGGTGTTTCAGAGTTATCTGAATCTCAAACACGTTATAAGCAATCAAGCGAATTCATTTTGGTGCTTTGCAATCATTCTCAGAACTAATTAGTGTGTATCACAAAAAAAAAATTGGGACAATATTTGTAAAAAAATAATTTCCTTACCATTACTGAAGCCCAAATTGAGATATTTGACATTATGAAGGGGATACTTTAGCTTGATCAGAGGTTCAATGACTACTTCCCTCTTCTCCTGAAGTACATGTTTGGCTAGATCCCATATGAGGATCTCTCCAGAACCAACCTGTTTTGTTGCTGAAATGTACAACAGCTGCTACAGATTATACACATACAATCAGAATGGTGATCATTCACCTTGTGCTCCCAGCACACACTTGACAACTATTAAAACACAAGACAATAACTATGTTGGGCTCTTGATTGAAAAGGAAACATGATTTTTTTTTTAAAATTTAGTAATGAGATAGTTTTAAATACCGGTACATTAACAGTACTCTTATCAGGTAATAACTTAGCAACAAAAGTTTCTACCTTTGTAATTATAATTTTAATTAACTTTAATTTCTACCACTTTTATGTTTCTTATTAATTAATATTTTTTTAAAAATTATGTTAAATTTTTAAATTTTTATAATTTACATTTCCTTTTTTAATTTTAGGTAAAAATATTTTTACCCCAGTTGAGTCAAATTAATAATTCAAGGTACTGGAAAGAATTTTAGATATTTAAAAAGGATATTTGTTAAGTTGCTCGTACCGACAAGATCTCCAGGAAGGTTAATCAAGCCATCAATTGTCAAAGTCTTTGATTTTGGGTGTTGGAAAATGATGTCAGCTCTTCTGTAAATCAAATTATAATTAATGGAAAAAAATTATTTTTGTTAATGGAAAATAAATTAACCACTCATTCATGTCCTACTGAAATGAAAGGAGAATCAAAATATAAAGTAAAAGAGTGATCTCAAAAAAATTACCAGTAGAATGCTAACATGGCATTAAAAAAAATCTATTTTATTTGCCTCATCAGCTCATAATTGTAGTACTCTACTTAAAGAATAGAGTTTTGGAAAATCATTAAGGATATACTCAAAACAGCAACATAAGTTAAGACCCAACGACAACAACTAAGAAATTAAAAAGAGTAATGGCTTACAGAAATTTGTAAGTTACAAAAAAAATAAACACACACAAGTAAAGTAATACATTTTTAGAAGTGGAAAAATTTGATATATTTCTTCTTACTCTTGTATCTGATTTGAAAATCTTAAATAAAGCAAGAACACATACAAGTTAAGAAATAAATTTTTAAAAGTGGAAAAATTTGATATATTTCTTATTTAGCTTTTGTATCTGATTTGAAAATCTAAAATATAATGTACCTATTTACTTACTCAATAACCCTGGCTCGTCTCACTGGAGTTAATGAATGACAGTCTGCCACCACCCACCCCACACATCCCCTTTCAGCACCAGCAATTAAAAGCTGGGACTGTTCACTAAATATCAAATTGAGAGCATCTCCAACTGAATCTTGCAGTGATATCTTCAGTAAAGGCCTGGTATTTGAAATTTGAAAAAAATATATATTAAAATGCATAATTGACAATTGTAATGACATAATTCATAATTCCTAATGACATGATGAATGGATGCTGAAAGATAAGTTTTCTGTTGCGATTACTTAAGTACTTATTTCTATTTCTTACACATGGGAACTGTTAGGAGCCCTATCAGGAATGCCAATGTCCCACAAATAGACAAAGCCATCTCTACTGCCACCTACAGACAAGAAGTAAAAAAAAAAATTTAAAAGATGAATATACCATAAAATCTTTCCACAAAAGAGTAATTTAATAGAATTCTGTTTGATAACAGGCGGAGGTTTATCTCCACGCATATACAGTATCAAGTGAAATGAATTGTTTGCATGAGATGCATAGCGCAAGTTCTGAGCAAGTTTACGTATTTCACTGCACTGTTTTTTTTATAAGTAATCAGTAAGGTGACTGTTATCAAATCCTGCCATCATTTGCTATTTCACATATCCATAATTTTTAATCTATGATTATTTCAGTCAGCTAATACAGACTCTTTATAAATATATTTTGGGGCATAATTTCTACTTATAAAATTATAGATGTATTCATATTTATATATATATATGTGTGTGTATATTTATGTACATAAATGTGTATGTATGTATGTATGTGTGTGTATATAAATAAATATATATAATTATATATTGCTCTTGTTTCTTGGAATAAAATATTACATATATCCCCACACTGCTAACTTACTGAATAATAGTCTTGTCAATGTTGGGTGGAACAATAAGCAGCTGATATATTTTTTATGGCCACGAATTGTGGCATACATCAGCAGTTGACTTGGGTATATCAGTTTAATTGCAGCCCCCTCTCCTGCAAGGTATTACACAAATTTAAGTTCATGAAAAATAAAAAAAAGAGTTTTCTCAACTGGTTAAGGAAAAAGGACATTATAATTCTTATGCTTTATTTCTCTTATCGTTTTGTTTTTTTAAAACAAGTTAATAAGGTTTCAACTACCTGCAACAGCCAAGATGTTAACTTTCTTCATGCTGGCAGCCTCTATTGTGGTCCAAGCAAGGGTGTAGAAGTTCTGAACACGTTTTGAACACAAAAATATTTAAATATTTATTAACGTGGAAATAAGTGTTGCATCAATTAGTAACTATGTCAATTAGACACAATGATCGAAGCCAATTAATTGTGTTTGTTAGTAGGCATTGTACTTTGAAAATGCATTGTAGGGACAATTGTTAAATATTATGTTACAAAAATTATAGTGCAACTATTTGGGTTAAGGGCAGAGGCAATCTTTTACGTCATAAAGAGAAGATGATTTAGCTAATAATTTCAAGGAGCAAAAGACACATGGATTATACAGCCTACATCAGTTGTTATCAGGAGTAAGAGAGAATAATAATTTTGTTATTTTCATTATCTAATGAAGAACATTAATTCAGTGATCTATATATGTAAGCATTGTACTGATTGACAAATTACAGATTATCCTGCTGCCATTTATTTATTTTATAACTATGTATTGTTCTTTGATATGGGTATTTTAATAAATTTTAGATAATTTAATTATTCATCATATTTAGTCATATTTCTAGCTTTACTTTTTGGGTTACTTGGCGCAGCTCTAATGGAAATACATTCATCAAATAATTGGTATAATATAACAATAACTAGAAAATCATCTTTTAAAGACAACCCTTTCTTAATTCTTTTTTAAGTCTTCTTTTTTAGATGTTGTAAAAAAAAAAGTATGTAATAGAAATTTCATTAGAAATGTATGTGGACAAAGAAAGGTACTGATACTAATTCAACATATTCAGGATTGTAGGGGGCAAAACAAACAAAAAACCCAAAAAATCAAAGAATTTTATTAATTACTTCATTACGGTCGGTGTCCTGGAACCGTTTCAGAACTTGTTGGGTGTTCACATCAATAATACAGACGGTCTTTCCACCGCAGGTGGCCAGCAAATTTGTTGTCTCTTCTAAAAGTTAAAAGCAGAGGTTAGAGTTGAGTTAAGTAGAGCAATGAACATACTTCTTTGATAAAACTTTCATTAAATTCAATAAGTGCACATTTACCAAATGGCAATGTACAAATATTAGGTGTAATAAATTATTTGGCTAATACCAACCAATGTTGCAAAATACATATTTTATCAAAATGTACCGTGACTTAGTGACTACCCAAAAAAGCTAAAAAATATAAAACCATAATTTGCACACTTTTTAAGTGAAAAACTGTTGATAGTTAAAAAAAAACTAATTTTGTGTTTTACTAAGTATCACACCCCCTGCAAAAGTAAATATTCATTATAAACTTTGAAAATAATGGATTTCGACTTATTTCTTGATTTGCAAAGAGAAATTTGGAAATAAACCTGTGCCTTATTAAATAATGTTAATGAAGCCTATTAAGCCTTTGTCCGGCAAATTCAGTTTGGGACCCATTCACCCAGAGGAGCATCGACAGGTTGGAGGCGGTCCAGCTACAGGCTTTGTCCTGAACTGCTACAGGAACACCACAGGTTTGGCAGCATGCTGGAAACACTGGGCTGGTCACCATTGGAGAAATGACGATGATTATCAGGGCTCTCCAATGATGTACAATATAAAATTGGGCTGGTCCACTGCTCCAACATAAAGCAGAAACTCGTCCCTCTCCCCCCCTAGACAGACATGAGGCCATGACAGGCAGTTCCAGCTCATAACAGCAAGAACACAGTACAGGAAATGCTCATTCCTGCCAAAGACAATCAGGGACAGGAACAAGCTTCCAAAAGGAACATTTGATGTGACAACACTTGACACATTTGTGTCTGTTGCCTCAGGCCTTCCAACCCCCAGTTCCTGATACGATCGCTGTGCAGCCCTTGCAACCAGTGATGTATCCTCTTAAATTTAAGGAACAGAAACATTGCGAATCTCCTCTACTTATTTATTATTTATTTATTTAGGCATTTTTTTATATAGCGCTTACCTTAAAGCTCTAAGCGCTTTACAATTATTAAAAACATGTAAACTAAGTCAAATAAAAATGAGACACTAGGAAAGTAACTACTATACTATAGAAACAATTAAAATGGCTATAAAACAAGGACACTTTGGCACGTTTTGGCCTATAATACAGGATCAACCCGAGACAGAATGATAAATACATTGATTGTGGGCCCTTAATATATAGAAGAGAAGAAAGATCATAAAATATATAAACATTTATATACCTTAAAAGCTAATGTGTCCTCTGTTCTTAAATCCCTTTTCTACACAGCCCCTGAAATGCCCCCTTGCACCCCTTGGGGTTGGAAAATTAAAAACTAAAGCTAATTCTTTTTTTCTTTCTCAAATCCATTCAAATTTATTTTCATATTTACACTTTAAGTTAAATCAACAAGTTGAGCCAGGAGCTTTCAGGAACAAACTTAAAAAAGAAGGGCCACTCTATAGGCACTTTCACATTTCTGATTTGTTTCTGAGCTTCTCAACCGGGCAGGCTGTTGAAAGTTGTGAAATTTCTGAGACCACCTGCTACTCCTAACAAAAACAGGGTCAACAGGTTTCATTAATCACAGGTTTGGTGAGTGTTGCAGTATATTATTAAATTACTGCTGGCAATATAGGAAAAAATGGCATCATAATACATATGCCAATAAAAACTCATGATGATTTAATATTAGTTGACTTATTTACACATTTTTATGATCAGTTGTATTCGATAGTAGCCATACTTTGTATTTTGAATATTATAATTTGTGATATAAATTTCAAATATGTTTTTATTGGAGCGGGCAAGACAAGAAAAGATTTTAGAGGAAAAAAGTATTTTTTTTTAAAAATGGAACTTATTTAATTTTTTGGTTAAAATTTTATGTTTTAATTTTCTCTTAAATTGCATGGCTGGCTATTGGTAAAATCAAAGCTAAAATAAAAAAGCTAAATTTATTAATATGAAGAGAACATGCAGTCGCAGGTTGCTGACAGTTGCGTTAGAACTGTTAGCACATATTGACAATAGTTCTGCATAGTTGTTAACACCTACATGGGATATCCCGGCCAGCTGAAGATTGTAAAAATCAACAACTACCAGTGGATTCTCAACAAGGATTTCCCACTGAGCTTTGTGGCTGCAACAAACCCACAATGTTAACGTACCTTGTGAAGGCAAGTGCACATTATTTAACTTTCGAACCTAATGTGAAAAAGGGACCTTGGTAAAGTTGTTTTCTAACTAGAGTCTTAAGGAATTAACAACAAAGATATATATTTTCAGTTACAACTACCAACCTGGATTATCTATGGAGGGCTCAAAAGCACACTTCCAAATTTTTGTCTCGTCATCTGATTCACGCTGATTGTGGCACCTCAAGAACATTGTTGGGGCATAATCACCTAAACTTGGCTGCATTACAAAAACAATATTTTTTATTTACAAAGATGTCAAGAAAAATAGTAAGACATATCCTCACTCCCATAAATTCAAGAAAATGTATTATTTATTTATTTGGAGAAAAGAAATGAGAATATTTAAAGTAGGGTTGCTTTTTTCTTCATTGCTTTTTCAACTCTCAATGGAGCATAGGCAATTAATAATATCTTTCCATGCCCTCCATTCTCCTCCTATCTTCTCTAACTCTAACTCTTGGCAACCCTTTCTGAACTTTAATATCCTTGTTGACTTCTCTTCACCAGGTGTTTTTGGGTCTTCCCTGTCTTGAAGTCTTTTCCAGCCTTTCTTTGTTGATCATCAGTTTTCTGAACCATACAGCAGACCATTTGATACCAGTATAAAAAATTTAATTAATATTTCTCCTTATTTGCCAAGACTGCCAAGAGTTCCAAATATTTTTTAAGTTAAAAAAAAATTGCCTTGATATCTGCCTCAGATCCCCCATCCTTACTAACTATTCTTCTTAGATAGAAAATGTGCAGATTACGATTATCTGGCCTGGCTTCATCATGTAATTTTGATTATCGATTATTTTTTATGTATTCTTGAAATGCCTGATATACCGTAATTAAAAAGTGTGCATCATAATCTTTTTTTAAATTATAATATTTTATAAGTTAATCACGGTTTACGATTTGGTTTAAGAAGAATGAGGGTAAAAATTATAAATACAATAACTGGTTGAAGAAACAGGAGCCAACATTCCTCTGATTCCTACACATTTGAACATTGTTCCTAGACTGGGGGATTAGTCTCCAATAAACAAAAGGAAAAGTAGACTATAATTTGAAAAGTTAAGTTGAATTCACCAGTGACAAGCCTAGAAGTAGGCCATTGAGGCTTGTGACATCTAAGTGTCAACACAATAATCGATAGGTGAAGTAGCACCCAGGAATGAGCCCGATGTAAATTACAGAGCTGTTTACTCTTACACTTTCGCCGAAGTAACTAGGTTCTTAAGCCTAAGACTACCACAACCCTAAAAAAAAAAACGGTTTTGGGATTTTTGTTCATTAGTTTAGTTTATTATTTTTAAAAAATTGGGGGCTTTCAGTAAAAAGCTACAGTATTTTTTTATGTTAACAACATAAGAAATGGAATAAGAACAACAGTATTTGTCTTTACGGACTCGATCATAAAGAGCCAACCAGAATATTTTTTTTGAGGGTGCTTTAATTGTTAATACTTAAAACCGCCAATGTGTTATCTATTATTAGCCCTACTGTAGCTTATTTATTGGATTTGGACTCAATGCTGTAGTGATTTATCCTTGATTGCACATGCGCTTTCCCATGAAATTTCAAACCGTAATGCCCAGAAAGTTGTTTTTGTCCTGTTCATTTCACCTTTAACTGTAACAACATATTTAGGCGTAAGGGGCCATCAATTTAGTTGATACGCACTCAGGGGTTTGTTGATTTAGGTTATGTGTGGGTATGGAGGGGGGTGGGGGTGGAAGAAAGAACTATATTTATAAAAAAACTCTGCAATAATCATCCTGAAATTTTGACAGTCCAAAAATAGCTTTTTTATATATTTCTTATGTTGTAAAAATATCAAGCGATGTTTTGTAGGAATTATTGTCATAATTAATTGTCTCTTGTTTTCACAAATAAACTCCCTAGATGTCACTCAAATAGTCCTCAGTAGTAGCAGTATTACTGTGATATTTCAACCACCGCATCTTCAGTGTGCGTGTGATGTACCTCGCCCCACCCAAGCTATGCAAGTGATTCCTCAATTTTTTTTATTCTGTCGCCTATTACAAATGTAGGTTTCGCCAGCAGCCCTTTGCTAAATTCTAACAAAAGCAATTTGAAATAGCTAATACATAAACAAAATAAAATGTAGGTTTAAAAATCTAATAACTGCAAATAGTAGTTACTCAAATGTTTGCAACAAGGCTGCTAGATTGGATTAAAAGTGGAAATAAAATTATGAAAAGTGTAATATTTTGCGGAGCTTCTGATGCAACCCAGGACAGGGCCATGCCGGGGAAATGCAGCACCTGGGGCAAAGCCGGAAAATGGTGCCACTTAATGTATTGAACCCTCCCCCCCCAACCAGTAAAAAGACTATTTTTTGCGCCCCTTATCTTTTTGTAGTATATGGGATTTTATAATATAATTTACTATTTAACATCTTATCTAAAGACAATTTTGGCGCTCGATATGACTGCCCTCTTTGCCCCATTCTCATGACTCTGCCAGGGAAGTTTGGCACCCAGAGCAATGTGGCGTATTGTATGGGAATCGCCGTTGCATATTTAAACTCTCACTCACTTTCCTTCTGCCACACTTCTATTGCTGCCCACAGATACTACTTACCAACTAAGTGCTATTTCTTATTTTTATTTTTAAACCGTTTTTTTCTGTTGTTTTGTTTGCTGACGAAAGCTTTCTGCCAACACGTTCGCTGTTTTGTTGCGTGTATTTTTTCAGGTTTAACCTACTCTGTTTTACTCATTTTATTTTGTACTAGCCTGATTGCAGTCTCTCCCCTTATTACACCTTTATTTGATAATTTTTTTTCATTTGTTTTGTGTTTCAGTAGTGTTTTTAATTTTACAAATGCATGCTTGTTTTCATTTTGCCAAATACAAAACTGTTGTGTTGTAATAGTAATGAATTTTTTATTTAGATATGCCTATTAGTCAAACAAGTCTGTGCCTTTTGTGCTTGCCTAAGACTAAGACCTTTCTTATTCTTAAGAAACAAATTGGATGACTAAATCATGTATATTTATTTGTGTTAACTTATATAAGCAGTTGAGTGGATTTCCTGACATAACTTGTATTTTTATTGCTATGGTCGCCAAACACCCCCCCCCCCTCAAAACTACTCTTTGGAGATTGAAATTATGTTTTTGATAGCTGTAAACTACTCTGACACTAAATCAGTGGTAAACAGGTCTGACATTATGTTCATAAATGCAAAGTCTGGGTAAATTAAATTTATGCAACGAAGTTTTGTTTTAGATGCATTTTAAAACAGTTTGAATAATATTTATCAATTAGTAAAGCTTGTTTTACATACCAGGTGGCCTAGATCCGGGGCTTTTCTTTTGATGCCTCTTCTTGACATTCTAAAATTTTTTAAGATAAATAGATTCTTTATGTTTAATAAATTAAGGTTTACTCTGGAAGTTAAACAATGCAGGGATTAATGGCAAGATGTACAAATGTTAAAGTTATTTTTTACAGATGATACTATCCAACAAAAAATACATAATGCCACACTCCCACAAGTTGTACCCTATTTTTTAATGTTCTCCATTGACCTACCAGATAAGCCATACGAATGCCCAGTCCTGACCACAAAGATCCAATAAATTTCCTCCAAAGAAACAAACATGTCATAATCTTTTACCTACGCACAATACAGGACTCATACAACTTAAATTTTATTCCACCTTAACTGCATAAAAGAAACAGATAAAACACCAATGTGCCCCCTCTGCAGACCAGCAAATGAGACACTCACTTGGGCATGTGGCTATAGAGAAGAATTTACACACTCTGCAGCAGTTCTTAGTTTGAATATAGGGCGTTGGTGTAGTCTTGTGTTTAAGGTACGTAGTTTAGGAAAGTTTAGGAGTAAGTCCTAAAGTGCTTGGCAGTAACTAGGTATTATTCCACTGCCGAACACTTCAGAACTTACATGTAAACTAGGTAATCTACCACTTGAGCGTCGGCCAAGAAAAAATCCAGCTGTTCCGGTTGGAAGGCCTATATAAACAATTATTCATATACTATTTTTAATGACATTGGTTCTGCGTATTCATTCCCATAATAATAGTACAAATACAAATACACAAGAACATTTTTTTAAAATAGAAAAACTATTTAAAAAATTTGAAATAGAAAAATTTAAACAATTTAATGTTTGAAAATGGAATTATGCATAGTTCTACCCCAAGGCGACAATGAAGTTTTAAAAAATATAAGTCCCACGAAATTGGTTGTGGTACATGAATTCATGTAAATATGAAGGGGAAAGATCACGGCTTGTGCCAGACTGTCTTTTCAGTTTACGCTTTTTGAGCATCCACATTTTCCACATACTGTGTGTGGACATCCGCGTCATCTGGATCAAAATGTTTATTTTATTTTGTTAATGCACCATCTTAGATGCTGAATAAGGGATCTGACAAATTCAGCAGTAGCAGTAGTGTGGACAGCCACCATTCTTCTTCATTTCGTATCTGATCTGTATCAAACATTTCGGACATCGGCACTTTTGTAGTCTCTTTTTCTTCCTGGCATATCGGTAGCTTGGCAGTAATAATTATTTAAACGTATTAGCATTTTGCTATATAACTTTATAGCCTATACAGAAGCAAAAATATTAACGGACTCCAATGTAAGAATAGTTGTTTAAATAGCCCTTCCAAACGGAACAACTGGATTTTTTCTTGGCCGACACTCAAGTGGTAGATTACCGTAAACTAAGAACCAGGTGCACAAAGGGTGTATTTTCTTCAGCATCATGGCATGGCTGCAGAAATAGGCAAATTCCCTTAATGATTAATCAAAGTTAATCTACACTACACTTTTTACAAATATTTAATTAATAGATTTAGATAATTGTCTTTTTTTAGGACCTAGCCCTAGAATTTTTGTTTAGGCCTATGGTTTAGTAGTTATATTTTAATTTAGCCTATACATTTTTTAGGCCTAACTTTAGTAATATTAGTTGCATTGTAATTGTATAAGCCTACTTTTTTTAAATTTATGAAAAATATCTCTAAAAAATGTGAGAAAACTGAAGAGAAATGCTCCATCACCAACTAGCTGCATTAATGAAAGAACAGCACACAAAACTATAGTTCTAAAGCCTTAGTAAGTGGCTAAAAAAAGAGGGTCTTACTTGAACTCTTACCCAATGTGGCATCAATAATAAATTTAATTTCAATGCTGAATTTTTGCCGAATAATAATTTTAAATTTGCTTCGGCTTCGGTCAACGTTGGAAAAGTAAATTTAATGTAGTTTTTAAAAAAAAATTATCAAGCATTTTACATTAAATAAAATATTTTAATTTTCTTATGCATATTCCGAAATATATACATCTAACATTTATTTGACAGTTTATACTACACTATACTCACGTTAAAGTTAAAGTTCACTCTTAATTTAAAATGGCGGTTGGAAAAGATGTAAACAGTCAATGCGATGGCTTATTAACTTTTCGTCAAATTTATTTTTTACTTATTTATTAATTTTTCTTTTTTTTAATTTGGTACACATTTACTATACATTATGGAGAGACGACAAAAAAAAAATTGTTTATTTTAACATTTGTTTTATAAAAGTTCCTTGCACAAAAAAATATCATTTTAACATTTACTCAAAATATAGACTTGATCCTTATTGGATTCGGAATACTGTAATGACACTCATTAAGAATGCTATTGTCACACTATTGTGAAAATAATGACACCAGCTTACTTCTTACTACATAATCATTCATAATGACATACCCGGTAACAATCATTGGAGGATCTGCAAATGACACATAAAATTTGGCAAATTTTGTGGGGTAGCATATGTAAAAATAATTACAAATTTTTGTTGGGTATTTGTTTTTTAAAGCATGGGCAATTATGTTGAGAGTATCAGTGGACATAAACGTGCAAATTTTGAACTTGACTTGAGACCGACCAAGTGATTTTCTGATTTCGGCCGAAACCAGACCGAAAGTTAAAAATGACCTACAGCCCAAAACGAAACCAAAAGCTTAACGAGACTTTCGGCCGAAACTGATATTTTGAAATTCATTCTGCCACATATTGTTATGTTTAAACATTTGATAATCAGCACACACCGCTCATTTAATTACTACAAAATAAAGTAAAAGTTAACACTTTTGTTATTACAAATGAACATAAGGTAATAATTTAATAATAAAATATACTTTTAAAATCCAAAATGAGAAGGAAAAAATAAGATTTTGGCCTAGTGAAACTTGATCCGCATCTGGGAATTGATCCCTAATCCCTAAGTGTTGTATCAATTATTATTATTTTTATTATTAGATGGTTTTATATAGCGCAGTACCCCAGCCTAGGGCTAGGCTCATTGCGCCTTACATAAAAATTAGCAATTACAGTAAAGTATCCATTTATCCATGGAGGCGGAAATCCATTGATCGTTCTGAATGGAAGGATGTGGTGGAGCAGGCCAGGGCCCTGCTGCTGTAGCGCCACTGATGATGATTATCCATTTTAAAAAAACAGTTGGTGAAAAGCTTGACCTCACCCACCCAGGCACTATCTACCTATGGGCAGCACCCAGCAGAATCTAGCGTTATTTATCAGTCAGAGGGGAGTGAGAATGAGTAGGTATAGTACATTTTGAAGAGATGGTCTTGAGGGCAGTTTTGAAGGCTGGGATGGTCGTAATATTGCGGATGTGTAATAGGAGAGAAGTCCATTGTTTTGGGACACAGAAAGAGAAAGATCGTTCATCATATGTTTTAATGCGTGTTCTGTGAACAGAAAGAATATGCGTGTCTGCGGAAGAACGAAGCTTTTGAAGGGGTGAGTAGACAGTAAGAAGTTCAGTAAGATAGGAAAGGCAGAAACCAGAGAAAAAGTTGTGACAGAGAACAGACAGCTTGTAATCAATGCATGCCTGTACAGAGAGTCAATGAAGTGAGTGAAGTAGTTGAAAACATGATCATGTTTCTTTTCCTTTAGACTTTTGAACTAATGATTACCATAAGACCACACAATATCATATCTCAAGACGAGCCCAATGGTAATTTTTTGCTGCGGTGTACGCATGCGTAACCAGAAATTTGTTTGAAAGAAATTTATTCGACGGAAAATTGATCGACGGAAGTTTGATCGAACAGAAATTTTATCGAACAGAGTATTTGCTCGATTTTTCTTTCCAGTTCACATGATCTAATTTAGTGTAACATTTCTTTTTGAACCCATTATTTTGTTTTACTATATGGTATAGTGCGTTCAAAAATAAATTTTACGAAAATTTGATTCATTTCAAACAAATTTCTGGTAACTGTACGCAGTTTATGTTTATTAAGCAGTAAATGCTCATGTTTTAATTAAAAGTATTACAAGACCTGTTGCTTTGTTGAAAAATATTCTTACAATTATCTGTTTTATTTAAAAAAATTGTTTTACAACCCTAAAGAAATTTATTTAAAATGCTATTTTATGTTTTTTTATCACAATTCCTTATGATATTTTTCCCAGTGACATGATTAGGTCTGGTGCACCTGTAAATGACATCTAAAAATATTAATGAACATGGTTCCAAAATTTTTATTATGTTTATAAAGTAGGCACCTACATATATTTTAAATGTTAAAGCAATTTTTTTCTGTTTTCCATATTGTACATTTCTCAAGTTTTATTGCAACTGCTGAATATGAAATACCAAAACTGCTGAGTATGAACCAGAGATCTTTTCCTGGTGATTTTTCCTGAAAATTTACAACAGCAATTGCTTATGCCAATTTTATTTTTGCTATTTTCATGAATCTATCATTGTTGGCCAAAGATCACAACACATGTACAATTAATATCAGATCTTATTGGTACATAAAACGTTATCAGTCTACATTTTGTATTTCTCAGAATTAAGTTTCAAATCTAGCTGACTCCGTAAATTATGTATAATTTAAGACAGTTTAAAAAAAAAATGAAACTTAACCCAGCGAAGCTTATATATTAATGTATTTTTAATTTGTCAAATAAATGATATATTTAATTATTTTAAAAAAAACTTTCTTAAAACTAAAAGCTGCAAAACAGTTAAAATAACATTTCAGCGTTTTTCTACGAATTATTTTTATGATATAAAGTTATAGGAGGTTTGACATTTTGTATTTTAATAAAATTTTCTATTTTGTTACGCCTCTAAGTTTTTAGGGCTTTTCTAAGTTTGTGCTTTAATATAAATAGATACTTATAATGCTGGAGTGATCAGTTCCCCATAATGTTAAGTGTACCAATTTGAAAAGGATTCTGAGACTTAAATATTTTGTATTTAAGTTATCAAGTTGTGTAGATCTTATTTTAGATATTTTGAGAGAGACATTTTGAAAATAAAGAATTACTAATGAAACTTGGATATTCTTTTTTTTTCTTCTTTATCTATTTGTTTTTAAAAAATACAAACGTTGCACACGTAATCTATTCTCTAAACATTGTGATGGAAGTGCAGTATACAAACGTGGATGCCTTATCAACCTGCCGAGGAGCAACTGCTATTTACAACCTAACACAAAATCATGCAAGAGAAAATACTAGTGACAGAAAGTTTGTAAGTGAAAAGTTAAAGCTATTGCAAACACACAATGAAATACATGTTGACATTACCAAACAACACAAATATAATAATAAAAGTATTATATATAAAAAAATTATTTTATTATCAATATTAAAAAATGAATGCACAGCAGGTAAGATCCATGATGGATGTCACAATATTAGTTACGATTAATGAAAGAAAAAAACTTAATTAGGAGTATGTTTTTGACTTCTGTGCTTTACATCATCATCCTGTCGAAGTAAAGCATGAAACATGGTAATCATGTATGTCTTATCTTTGCAGTTCAATAACTAAGGACTTATTTATACATACAAATTTTAAATGCATACTTCATGCTATAAAAAGGCATTTTTAATTATTTACACGAGAGCATATTATTAATTTTTTTATTTA